TATTACAATACAGCAGATTATCAACTTGACTCTCCAATGGAAAGAAACACATTGTTGATGGCTCTCTGTTAGAGCTTGCATTTGGTTTATTGATTAATGTACTGCGTTGTACTGGGTATATCAGGCAATGGAAGCCAACTGGCCCAGACAATGGAAGTGTTTTGTTAGTGTAAAAAATTTACAAGAGCTTAAGCAATTTTTTATTTCTTCTTGCTGGGCTGAAAGCACTTACCATTGTTGTCCAATATGCTGCAAATGAACATAGTTCAAAAATCACAAAGAGAGTGATATGGAGTTATAGAACTGAAAATAGGATACTGATTGGGTACAAATTCATCAAGCCTCTTTATTTCAAAACAAGCTTTTTGTTGGCATGCCAACACAGCTTGCTTTGGAAAAAGCAAAAGCAACTGTGAGCGAATGATATAGTAGGAAAGTTGACCTCCAGTTAATTTCAGTTGTGCCCAGCTAGCTAACTGTACATCTCCTTCTTTCCAACATTTTTTTTAGAAAGTTTCAGTTAGTGAGTCATTAGTGCTATGTACAGAACACCTAATCTGCTATGGACTGAATATGTATGTCCTCCCAAAATTTCTTTGTTGAAATCCTAATTCCCAAAGTGATGGTGTTAGAAGGTGAAGCCTTTGGAAGTTGATTAGGTCATGAGGGTAGTGCCCTCAGAAATGGGATTAGTACTTTAAGAAAAGAGTCTTGAGGGAATTCAGTTGTCCCTTCCACATGTGAAGACACAGTAAAAAGAAGGTCATCTAAGAAACAGAAGGCGGACCCTCACCAGACACAGAATTTGCTGGCGCCTTAATCATGGATTTCTCGGCCTCCAGAACTGTGAAAAAGAAATTTCTGTTGTTTATAAGCCTCCTAGTCTATGGTATTCTGCTATGGAAGCCCGGAAAAAGTAAGACAAATCCATTGCTCAGTTTTTTCAGAAACTTACATAACTCATCTCATGTTAAAAATGGTGAGGCTGGAATTTGAACCCTGGAAATACGGCTCCTAAAGTTGTTCTCTAATTCACTATGCTGTACTGTCTCTGATTGGGTAAACGTGTCATCTACAATAATTGCAGAATTAATTTTATAAAGCAGTCTTTGGCATATATTGCTTCAGATGAAAATTTATCAACTCCCTTTTTCTTGAGATAGTGGTTCTCAATGGTTCTTTTCTAAAACACACGCGTCAAATATCATTCTTCCTACAACTATATCACTCTCTTCTCCACAATCTAGAAAGCACACATGAATGCATGTTATATATAACTTTAAATCTGATCTTACATTGAATTTGACAGGGTGTAGCAAAAACTTGAGTACAGTGGCCTACCGAAATAGTGGTTTACTGTTCTCAAATATCCAGAAGTAATGAAGAAGCTGGTGAAAATGTGGTATAGCTGCTTAAGGAATTTGGTAGGAACCCTGGCTCCCTCTACTTTTATGGTTGCCATCTTTAGCATGTGACTTTGATTCTCAAGTTGGCTTTCTCATCTGAAGGTATCACATCTATGTGCAAAAATGGAGGAAGAAGAAGGGCAAAGGACAAGACACAAAAACCAAGTAGACATTTACCAGATGAAACTGTCCCCTTTAATTAGTTTTCCAAAAAGACTCACAGTCTAGTAACATTTAAATCTCACTGAACACAACTGTGTCATATGGCCACTCCTACCTACAAAAGGATCCATGAAGCTAGTATTTTAATATGGGCAAATTCCTTCCCCTTCAAAAATCAGGGCTCTGGTAATAAGAAAGAAAGGGAGAAAGGCAGGTGACTGGCAGTTTGTGCCATGTATGTAATATCATAAGCAAACACTGGCACTTTTATTGGTAACTGATGACTCTGCAATATACTCTGTTACTTATCACAGGATATCAGTGAGACACTGACTCTATGGTTGAGAGTGTCTGATCTACAGGATGAATTCCAAATCCCTAAACAAAATATATAAGAAAGTATCTTACCAGTCTAATACTAGCCTACTTTTTAAAATTTATGTTCCACCTTCTCTAGCCCTTTGCTTAAGTCACACGTAACTTGTCTTCATTTTTTAATTCACCGACCTTTGCGCCACTGGTTTTGGCATATGTCCCTTTCTTTGTTCAGAAGACCCTACTCACCGTCTCCAGCTGGTAAATAATACTTATTCTGCAAGACCCAGTGTGAATACCATCACATCTCTGGAAATGGCCTTAACTCTCTCAGTCATATCGATTTTGGTGTTTTGTATACACCTCCATTAGCTCACTTGTAATTATTTTCTTTCATATTTGTCACTACTGACATATGCTATGGACTCTTAGAGAACAAGAACTATGATTTATTCAACTTTTTCTACCCAGTGCTCCTGCAGTTCTTGGAATATGCTCAAGACATCTGCTTAAGGGAAAATATAGCTGAGTGTCACCTCCAGTGTAAAGGTGACCTACAAGGAGCTGAAGTGACCTGTTTTCACCATAGTCAGTAAAAATGCACTGATCTACACCCCTTAAATCTAGACCTCAGTGGATTAATGGCGGTCAGCAGAAATATGGAAGAGACAGATAGTGTTGAGTTTTTTTTTTGGTCTTAGTTGATGATAATAACATAATTCAGTAACTTAAAGGTGTTTTCTTTATATCTTCCATTGCCTATTCTTTAGCTCTGTTATCAAGAGATATTCGATTTTTTCTTTCTTTGTGCACAATTTGAGACCCAGTTTGTATCCTCAAAAAGGCTTCTGTTTTTTAGATTCTATGTATGAGTAAGATCATATCATGTTTGTCTTTCTGTGTGTGTCTTATTTCACCTAACACAGTGTCCTCCAGGCTCATCCATGTTGCTGAAAATGACAGAATTTCATTTTGTTTTATGGTTGAATAGTATTCCATTTTATCTGTGTGTGTGTGTGTGTGTGTGTATGTATGTATATATGTATACACACACACATATATATAGTCACATACACATACAATGATATATATGTGTGTGTGTATATATTTTATATATGTTCAGGAGTTACCTGAACATTCCCAACCATAAATTTAGATCCCCATATAATCACATGGCCACTTTAGAGACAGAATATCAACTCTAAGTGACATAGTGTCTGACACATTGTAGGCACCCAATAAATACTGACTGACACCAGAGTAGAACTGACTGACACCAGAGTATATATATTTTATATATATACACACACACACACACACACATATTCATCTGTAGTTGGACATTTAGGTAGAGTCCATATCTTGTCTGTTGTGAATAACACAGAAATTCAGTAAACATGATCAAGGTGCCTGCAATAAACATGGGAGTGCAGATATCTTTCAAAATGCTGATTTTATTTACTTTGGATATATACACAGTAGCGGTATTGCTGAATCATATGATAGTTCTATTTTTAATTTTTTGAGGGACCTCCATAATGAGTAGAATAGTGATTACCAGGAGCTGGGCACAGGTAGTGGCAAGGGAGAAACAGGGGAAGATGGTCAATGTGTACAAAATTACAGTTAGGAAGAATAAATTCTGGTTTTCTGTTACACAATAGGATGACTAGAGCAAATAATAATGTAATGCACATTTCAAGATAGCTAAAAAAGAATGTTTTGAATATTATCACTCCAAAGAAATGATAACTATTTAAAATAATGAATATGGTAATAACACAGATTTGGTCATTATACAATGTATACATACCCTGAAACATCACGTTATATCCCATAAACATAAATATGTCTAATGATTGTATGTCAATTATAAATAAATTAATAAAAATGTTACTGTTTAAGGAAATAAAAGACCTTTGAACTTAAAGTGATTTGAATAATATGGAAATAATTTACTAGCTTATTAACTTTTAAGTTGTTCAGTGGCTGGTGTATTTATACTTAGCAAATACTTAGTACTTGTCATTAGAGGAAGTTTAGGAGCAATGGGAATTGGATGAGAATACAAAAGGAAAAATTAGTCATAAAGAAACCACAAAATTGAACAAAGGGTTAGAGTAGACATGGTGAGTTCTTGATGATGCTACAACCTTACCCTTTCTTCCCTGAGTATATGGAAGACAGACATCACTAAATCAATCAAAACACATTTTTCACCTGAGCCCAGACATGGCTTTAGAATGCATTTTGGCAGTACAATACTCCAATTATCTTCTATAAACAAAGGAGGGAAGACATTCCTATCTTTCCCTCATCAGTGCATTCTCCATAAAGACTATTCATGTCAATACACTACCTGTAACTGGGTGGAGAATGTTTTCCTGACTCCCTTTGCAAAGTGAAGCAAGCATTGTGACTCCAAGATTGAGCTTCCACGTATTTAACTCTTCTGTCAAATCTCTCTCAAGGATTGGGTTCAGTGTCTTACAATCATGGAGTTCCAAAGACACTGCTTCTGTTACTTGCTTTCTATTTCTGCTAAGGAATGAGAGGGATCATCCCACCCACAGACTTTACAAATGAGGAGGGAGATAGCTAACACGTACTGAATGGCAGTCAATATAGTGAGTGCTTTATATTTACATCTTTTTGTGTTTTATAACAACCACATAAGGTCAGTATTATGTCCCCATTTTATAGATAGGAGACAGTGTCAAAGAAATTAATTCATTTGCCTGAGATCCCAGAGGTGGTGAGGGATGAAGATAATATTTAATCTCAGATCTGTGACATCTGGCATCATGCTATTGAACTCTGGAGAGTTAGTTGTTTTTTTTGTGATCTTGATAAAATCTGCTTCTTGGGTTCTTTTCATACCACCAAGTAGTTACATTTTGGATGACAGCCTTGAGCTGTACCTTCATACTTTCTTGAGTCTTGCAGACCACAGAGGCAGATGGAAAATGGGTAAACGTAGATCAGATATGTGTTAGAAACAATCAATCTATTTAAAATCTCATACCAATCATGTGAAAATCTGGTCCCCTGGAGACCATCTTGATGGAAATGGAAAGCAAATTTGGGTTTAATCTTCTTATGTCCCTTTTTCTGCAGGACATCGTCCATATCAGGTGATCACCGCTCGAGTTCATCCAGGAGAGAGCAATGCCAGTTGGGTGATGAAGGGTACCTTGGAGTTCCTGGTCAGCAGTGACCCTGTGGCTAGGCTCTTGAGGGAAAACTTCATCTTCAAGATCATACCCATGCTCAACCCAGACGGTGTCATCAACGGCAAGTATGTCAGGCACCTGGCTCAGCCCAGCTGCATTTATGCTACCATAGTAACACTGTCATTTCACCAAGTGGGCGTGATTGGAGAGGCCTCGGTACTCTGCCAGGAATAAACTCTTGGTTTTCCGTTTTCTGGTACAAATAACAGCATGCTTTCCATACACACTGATGTCAGTCTCATGGTTTCTCTGAATAGAAAAGTATAGAATTGAGACCTAGGCAGGAGGATCGCTTGAGACCAGTAGTGCAAGACCAGTCTGGGCAACACAGTGAGACCCGGTCTCTTCAAAATAAATAAGTTAAAAAAATAGGAAGCTATAGAATCATAGGCAATTAATAGCAGAGGAAAAATCTAGTTTAACATTTTTCTTTTAAAAAGGAGGAAACTGGTGTCCAGGGTAATTAAATGATTTGTCCGAATCACATGGTGGGTTAATGACAAAGTCAGGGCTCAAACTGTGATTTCTTCAGAGTAAGACCAATGCTTTTTTTTACTTATTAATATTTACTACAGGGAAATCTTTATTCTCAGTCAGATATAATAGGATACAGTTATAATAATGGTGTCCCTCTAGCTAAATAAAATGTTGGCTGAAAAATAGAAGGTTGAGGTCATTCTTCTCTTTACCTAGCCCTTACAGAACTCTTCGAAATATATGATGGGAAAGATGGTTTCCATGCCTGGTGAGCTCCGTCGAAATGGGCCACATTCTCAGAGTTTGTGAGCTGAGGCCCAGACATCAGATGAGGCACCCAAAGTCACACAGGTGGTACATGAGGGTGACAGGATTAACATCCACAAAGACGTCTTTCCAACTTTGTGGGCAAATGATAAAGCCCCTTGCCATGGTAATAGATGATTCTTTTTACTATAGGAATGGACATTATATGCTATAAAAAAAAGAGAATACAAGATAAACTGAAAATATTGAAGGAAAAAAATTCAAAATCTGCAAATGGAAAATGTATTTTTAATAAAAAATTAGTATCAAAGAAGCAAAAAAGAATTTAGACAACTATAAAATATAGCAATATTAAAATTGTTAAATGAAAGAGATAAAATGAGAATTACAAAGAAATACTAAACAAAACCAAAAACTTCAAAGAGATAAAATGAAAATGACTGAAATAAGAATGATGTGAGAAAAATGAAATAATTCAGTTTTTAAGAAAAAATTTAAGTGTTCAACAGCCGAGAATAGACTAGCTTCAAAAGATAAGCACCAAAGATAGATAAATTAAAAAGGTTAAAACTATGAAGATGATAAATTACAAAAAGATGAAAAGCATAAATTCCAAATGATGAAATATGTTAAACTATGCTAAAGGAAAGCAAATAAAAACTACAGATCATAAAAATAATATTTCAGTACACACACACACACACACACACACACACACACAGAGATAAGACACCTATGTGTTCTTCACAGGTGAGCTCCTCCCAGCTTAGCAGTTGCCGGATTTCATTTTGTTTAATTTTTTTATGGTGATTATTTGAGGGCAGAGAATGTTGGGCAGAGAGCAGGGTTTCTTCTCTTTCTCTGTGGTGACTGATTGGCCTTTAAGCACATGGGAAAATGGGAGGCCAAGTCCTTCACTAAGAAACTCGATCAGACCTTGGAAAGCAATTAGCCTTCTGAGCTCTCAAGCTTGAAAGGCCCCAAAGCAGTGTTCGCTCCTGGTCAAACAGAACTCAGCCGGCTCTTGCTCTGTGCTCCTTTAACGGCAGAGAACAGCTCTGGGACATCAGTGAATGGCTCCTCCCTGCTTGAGCAGCCAAGGATTTTACTAGCAAGCTTTCTCAGCCTAAATGGATGAAAAACAGTTATGCAAGGCATCTTGAGGGACATGATCCCATTTTGACATTTTCTCATCCAAATTGGCTCTTTTCCGAAATCTTTCCTTCGCTGGAATTGTCTGAGGTCCAGTAGAGAATGGAAAGAGCCCTGGATCTAGAGTCATAAGGTTCATTGGGAATTCTGGCTTTTCTCCTGCTCTAGTCAGTTTTCTCTTCTGTTAGAAGAGGAAGACAATATGCTCCCTCTTGACCATTCTGGAAAAGGTCTCAGAAGCCCAAGGCAATATTCAAGCTCAGGGATTAAGTATTGTAGTTTCTTCAATTTTAAATGCTTACACCTCCAAATCAGGGGCTTTATCCAGATCTCTGGTTTAAAGGTTAATGTGATCTCAGTCACTGAGTATCATCCTGGCCTGGACACACATTATTTCCAGCTCATAGCTGGTTGCTTTGGGTTCCCAAATGGCAGGCCAGCTTCTTCTTAGTGACACTGGCATTTATCATCATTACCATTATTTATTATGACTAAAATTACCTTTTTATTTATATAGCATCTTTCATCATGGAACTCAAGGCACTTTATAAATCACTTGGATTACCCAAACAATTTTGGCTGAAAGGGACTTGGAAATCATAGTGTTATTCTACTGAAGGAAAAATCCACAGGTCATAGCACAACATTATGAAAAAACTTGAGACTGCCTGAATATATAATGTCTCATCATAAAAGAGCTTAAAAGTCTCAGTGCCTGAGCCCTCCTTAGAACATACCTAACACATGGTTTGTCTAATTTCTGCTTGAACTAGTTCTGTGATCGACATTTTACTTCAGGGCATGCCCACTCTGTTGTGTATAATCAGGTGGATTTGTGTCTTACTGTGTTTTCATCTTTGTCCTGTGAGCTTCACCCATTTTAATCATTCCTCCCTTAGGATATCCCATGGATAAAATCTAATCCCCCTCATCCATGCCTGAACTTCCCCATGTGAAGTTCTCTCCAACCTTGAGGCGGTTCACCTAAATTTTCTGTATATGGTATTTTTTCTGATGTTCTCATCTTCGCTGATTTTCTCTGAGTATATTCTTATTAATAGGCTCCTTTTTGTGACACTGTGGTCTTTTGTCCTTTGTAATGTATTTTAACAGTTTTGGGGGAAGAGATTTTTTTTGGTTACATGGATAAGTTATTTTAGTGGTAATTTCTGGCATTTTGGTGCACCCATCACCCGAGCAGTGTACATTGTATCCAATATGTAGTCTTTTATCCCTCACCCCCCAACCCTTCCACGACAAGTCTCCAAAGTCCAGTATATCATTCTCATGCCTTTGCGTCCTCATAGCTTAGCTCCCATTTACAAATGAAAGCATACGATATTTGGTTTTCCATTCCTGAGTTACTTCACTTAGAATAATAGTCTCCAACTCCATCGAAGTTACTGCAAAGGCCATTATTTCATTCCATTTTATTCCATGGTGATATAGATATATATATACACACACACATATATGTATATACACACACACACACATATATATATATATATCACATTTTCTTTATCCACTCATTGGTTGATGGCACTTAGGTTGGTTCCATATCTCTGCAATTGTGAATTGTGCTGCTGTAAACATGCATGTTCAAGTGTCTTTTTCATATAATGACTTCTTTTCCTTTGGGTAGATATCCAGTAGTGGAATTACTGGATCAAATGGTAGTTCTACCTTTAGTTCTTTAAGGAATCTCCATACTGTTTCTTCATAGTGGTTGTACGAGTTTACATTCCCATCAGCAGTGTAAAAGTGGTCTCTTTGCACCACATCCACGCTAACATCTATTACATTTTGAATTTTTAATTATGGTAATTGTTGCAGGAGTAAGGTGGTATCTCATTGTGGTTTTAATTTGCATTTCCCTGATAGTTAGTGATGTTGAGCGTCTTTTTTCATATGTTTCTTGGCTACTTGTATAATCTTTTGAGAACTTTCTCTTCATGTACTTTGCCCACTTTTTGATGGGAGTTTTTTTCTTGCTATTTTTTTCTTGCTATTTTGTTTGAGTTCCTTGTAGATTTTGGATATTAGTCCTTTGTTGGATGCATATTTTGCAAGGATTTTTCTCCCACTCTGGGTTGTCTGTTTGCTCTGCTGATTATTTCTTTTGCTGTGCAGGAGCTTTTTAGTTTAATTAGGTCTCATCTATTTTGTTGTTGTTACATTTGCTTTTTTGGGTTCCTAGTCATGAATTGTTTGCCTAAGCCAGTGCCAAAAGCGTTTTTACAATATTGTCTTCTGGAATTTTTATGGTTTTAGGTCTTAGATTTAAGTCTTTGATCCATCTTGAGTTGATTTTTGTATAAGGTGAGAGATGAGGATCTAGTTTCATTCTTATACATGTGGCTTGCCAATTACCCCAGCACCATTTATTGAATAGCATGTCCTTTTCCCACTTTATGCTTTTGTGTGCTTTGTCAAATATCGCTTGGTTGTTAAGTATTGGCTTTATTTCTGGGTTTTCTATTTTGTTCCATTGGTCTACATGCCTATTTTTATGCTAGCACCATGCTGTTTTGGTAACTATAGCCTTATAGTATAATTGAAGTCAGGTAAAAAGATGCCTCCAGATTTTTTCTTTTTTCTTAGTACTGCTTCGGTTATGCGGGCTCTTTTTTTGTTTATTTGTTTCATATGAATTTTAGGATTGTTTTTTCTAGTTCTTTGAAGAATGATGATGGTATTTTAATGGGAATTACATTTACTCTGTAGACTGCTTTTGGCAGCATGGTTATTTTCACAATATTGACTCTATCTATCCATGAGCATGGGGTGTGTTTCCATTTGTCTGTGTCACCTATGATTTTTTTTTTCAGCGGTGTTTTGTTTTCCTAGTAGAGGTATTTTACCTCCTTGGTTAAGTGTATTTCTAGGTTATTTATTTATTTATTTTTAGAGCTGTTGCAAAAGTGACTGAGTTCTTGATTTGATTCTCAGCTCGGTTGCTGTTGGTGTATAGCAGTGCTACTGATTTGTGTATATTGATTTTGTATCCTGAAACTTTACTGAATTCATTTATTAGATGTGAGAGCTTTTTGGATGAGTCTTTAGGGTTTTCTAGGTATACAATCATACCATTGGCAAACAGTGACAGTTTGACTTCCTATTTACTGATTTGGATGCCCTTTATTTCTTGTCTGATTGCTGTGGCTGG